TGAGATGAACATACCACAGTTCTTCTCCATTCTCCTCTTGTGGTTTTGGAAACACATGCACACATATCCAGGATTCAAACCACGCAGTCAGCCATACATGTGGGATCTAGCCATCTTAACCACCATGCCACCAACTGGCCCTGCCCACACTTATATTAACGGACAAGAACAGATGCAAGCAGAACAGTTGAGTTTTTCAGTGAGATTAAAAAGAAGTTACAGTTGGTCCAGATTTACATTCTCAATCCAACTGTGCCACTGACACAATTTAAAATCCAAACCACCAAAAAAAGAAAAATTGAGTCTTTCCTGCTCTGCATACTATTAATAACTCTGAGATAAATGAGGAAGAACTCAGATATCAAGGAGTTGTCTTCCTCCAAATAAACATCATTTAGTGGGGCTGACACACTGAACAGCTTTGGAGCAGATCATTCATACCGTGGTCTGTATGAATGGCACACCCTAGAGTTGTGTGGTGCAAGATGATAAATACTTTGGCATAAAGAATATTTTAATTTAGCAGCTGCAAATATCAACTTTATGATTGTCTAAGTTATGTAAAACAGGCTACAAATATAATTCTAAATCAAGACAGACTACCCCAAACAACCCATTTTCCTACATGCGGTTGACAAATGAGCATCTACTGCACTTTCAAAATCTTAAGTCTCACTTCAGAGTTACATTTCATTTTATCTATTTTGTGGAACTAATACATACATGGCAAACAATTTTCCCACACAGTGGGAAGATACTCGTTCTTTTTATCTTTACACTTAAGCAGTATCTTTACAAAATCAGGAAACAGTAATTACCAACACTATATAAGCCTCTGCATTACACAGGCTTCATTCTTCACACTCCAATCTTTCCAACCACCCTACCGTTAGGTTAGTATGTTACATTAGGCACATGAGGAAGCAAAGAGATCAAGGAAGACTGTCCAACCTGGTATTTGGTTGAGCTAGCAGTCAAACCCTGATTCTGAACCCAGATTCTGTGTTTCCACCTTATGTAATCACACATCTTCATTCCCTAAATCAGTATTTTGCTCTAAAAAACTAGGAAATAATGCTGTCATTTGGGTCATAAAACATTATTTTAGCCAAGAAAAGTGTCATTTGTACTGTGTTGAAAGTCAACTATCAATTATATGCTGACTGAATGCTGGACTATATGCTAAAGAATACTGCTGGAAAGCAGGGGTCACACATTCTGTAGAAAGCCATTCCTTGCACACTTCACCTTACTCCATCTCCCCAAGTTGACTCATGCCTAGAACTCAAAGCCTGGGTCTAATGTTTGCAGTCTCATGAGCATCACAGTGTGTCTTACATTCCATACTGGATGAATAAGCAAATCAACCATAGAACTACTGAGACCAATCCCGCAAAGGAAAAAAAGAAATCATTGACTATGTAAAGGAGAAAATCGAGAATTTCCAAAAGTGCTAGAGGACTAAGGCTTTAACAAGTCAGACAATGGCTATGTAGCAGGAGTAGCAGAAAAGAGAAACTTACAACCCAAAACCCAATCTTCACTATTTCATAACTTTTGCTCAAAAATCTTAGCCCTTGATACTGTCCCACATACTAAGCACCAGAGAGATCAGGTTTAAACTCCTTTTGCCCTTCTAACAGCTGTGATAATCTGACAATGATTTTTCTCGACTTTAATAATGATCATTGCCTCAATACTGTTTAACACAGTAAAGATTCTATTCTCTATTTCGAGGTTTTTAGAAGAATTTGAAATAACTGTACAAGAAATCAAACTTATACGAAATTAGAGATTTTAATAGTACATTGATTATCAATTTGGTCTGAAAGCCAAACAGCCTTAAGGGATTC